GCATTTCCTGGATGTCCGCAAAAGATATCTGCCCAGTCATATAGCAGCTACAGTGAAAACCAAGCGGAGAAACGAATGGTTGTTAACGAAATGCTTTGTCTCTCAGAAACAACGCTCCAGCCGCATATAGCAGATATTTTATCCTCTATGCCTCTGCAGATGTCACGATATATTGTCGTTTTATACAATTAGGTTCCTAGACATATCGTGTTGAATGGTACTTGTTTTGAGCAAGTTAAAGAATTTAAATATCTAGGAAGTATATTTTCGGAGGATGGAAGAATAGATCGGGAAATAAAAACAAGACGAACAACGATCAGTGCCCTCATATGGCAAGTGACGCCGTTATTAAAACATCCAAACATAAGTAACGAGAAACAGATTATAAACAGCGTATTCATACCAACACTGTGCTACCAGTGCCAGACTTGGACATTATCAAAGACTAACCAGCGTACAATTAACAACATTAGATGCCTGAGAAAAACCGCCAACTCAAACCTCTGAGACAAAATTAGAAATGATATTATCTGTAAGACTGTAGTAACAACAACATGCATCGAATTCACTGAGAAACAGAAGATCAAATGTTTGGTCATTAGTAAGAATACAGCCAGAACAACCACCAACGCAGGTGATACGCAAGAAAGGATCTGAAGTGAAAGCAAGAGGCCGCCCTAGGAGAACATGGATTGATGACATTAAAGAGCGTCTACATAGAGACACAGAATGACAGTAGCCATTGCTGCACTTTGAACAATGGATCGCAAATTGTTCCTCCCCAAAACGAACGAAATGGCAACTGATAAAAATGATGCTGATCATAATAAAACAATTAGATTCAGTTTTAAAAAGTCTTCATTCGTTTTTGTTACTGTCTTTGCCATAAACCGGTCCTTGAAAGATTACTTCTATTTTAGAGGTATATAGTGCTAGCAGTTTGAGAACACCAGCTATCTCAAGTGGGGAAAGACTCGTAGTTTAAGAACCCTTGGCCAAACCAGTAGTTTATTTTCTCCCCATATTTATCCTGATAACCTTCATACGAGCACAGGATATGGGTTACAGTGACATTTATCTCGTAACAGACTACGTAATGAGGCCATCTGTGGCAGAGGTTGTTGTTTCATTTGTTTCCGCAGCTGCAGAACCAGTAGTCGAGCATTTAGACTGCAGGACTTACAATTCTACAGAGGCAAGAATGACCGGTTAACAACAACCACAGAGAGAGAAATATAGAAGAATATGCAAAAGACAGAGCGGTGTCATTGCGCATTCTTTGCATAACGTTGCAGAACCATCCCGGCAAAATGTGTGTGTGTGTTGTGTGTGTGTGTGTGTGTGTGTGTGTGTGTGTGTGTGTGTGTGTGTGTGTGTGTGTGTGTGGCTGTGGCTGTTTGTAATTTAGCTGCGCAATCTTACGTTTAGTAATTTACCATCGCTCATTAACGGCTGGCTCTCGATTCTACTGTTGAAACCGGCGCAAGACAGTCTGTTACCAAATATCTTGCAGCTGTGATCGAACCCGGGACCTCGGATTTACAAAACGCCTCCGCAACACTATAGCCCCAGTTTGCATAAAGAACAACTTTGAAAATATGAAGATCGCCTAAAACAGTGCAGTCTAGCCACTATAATGACAGAGTCTGTATTTTTCTCGAGAATAGGCTAGTATGGCTAGTATATATTTCCGGTGTGCACACATGTGTCAGAGATTCAACTGGACAGACCAACATTTGATTTCTTTCGTAGATACTTTACTTAGAAGATTTTGTGTATGTATATTCGTACTTGTGATACTGTATATTCATGTAATGCTTTGATGAAGACTTTCTTTCTAACCTCAATATTCACTTGTCATTTGTGATAGTGTAAAGTTGATTGGTGCAACTTTTCGTTTAGCTTAACATATTTATGAAAAATTGATGTGGTTAATAGACCGTTCAAAATACTAATGGACATCCATTCGTAGATATGTTAGTGACTCAATGAATTCTAGTTAGGGTTTCCATATTGGCTTTTCCTACGCCAGATTAAAAAAGAATTTGGCTTGTTAAAAAATGAACTAGCCTAAGACAATAAGATGGCGTTTGTGGCGTTTGTGGTGTGAATGTGTGTGCATGTGTGTGTTCGTGTGAGTGTGTGTGCGTGGGTGTGTGTGTGTGGTTGTTTGGGTTTTTCCAGGCTTTTCTACACAAGAAGTTCCTACAACCTCTTGATGGTTTCCATGCGAGAAACACGCTAGTTTACCAACAGCAACTAAGGCTTACAATTAACATTTTGTTTTCAGTTTGTCTTGGTTGTGATGTCCTGGTACGGCTGTACACGGACTCACGGAGATTTGCGTCATCTCTTAATGTATAAGCAGCCTGTGTATGAATATGTTGTTACACGGACTCACAGAGATTCGCGCCATCTTTCAATGTATAAGTAGGCTGTGTATAAGTATGTTGTTACACGGACTCACAGAGATTCGCACCATCTCTTAATGTATAAGCAGCCTGTGTTTGAGTATGTTTTTACACGGACTCACAGGGATTCGCGCCATCTTTCAATGTATAAGCAGGCTGTATGAGTATGTTGTTACACGGACTCACAGAGATTCGCGCCATCTCTTAATGTATGAGCAGCCTGTATGAGTATGTTGTTACACGGACTCACAGAGATTCGCGCCATCTCTTAATGTATGAGCAGCCTGTATGAGTATGTTGTTACACGGACTCACAGAGATTCGCGCCATCTCTTAATGTATGAGCAGCCTGTATGAGTATGTTGTTACACGGACTCACAGAGATTCGCGCCATCTCTTAATGTATGAGCAGCCTGTATGAGTATGTTGTTACACGGACTCCCAGAGATTCGCGCCATCTCTCAACGTATGGGCAGCCTGTGTTTGAGTATGTTGTTATACAGACTCACAGAGATTCGCGCCATCTCTCAATATATGAGCAGCCTGTATGAGTATGTTGTTATACGGACTCACAGAGATTCGCGCAATCTCTTAATGTATGAGCAGCCTGTATGTGCATGTTGTTACACAAACTCACAGAGATTCGCGCCATCTCCTAATGTATGAGCAGCCTGTATGTGTATGTTGTTACACGGACTCACAGAGATTCGCGCCATCTTTCAATGTATAAGCAGCCTGTGTTTGAGTATGTCGTTTTCCTCTAGAAGTTCATAAACCCATTCCAGGTTGGTTGCGTATTCTTTACAGGACGTTGCAGAACCAACCACAGCAGCTCCTGGCTGTTGGGTGGTTTCTCTAGGCAAATTTATGTCCAGTAGTTTGCCATTGCTTACTGGACGGTTGGCTTCCTGATACCAATGTCGAAACCAACGCAAGGCGGATAAACCAATGCACTTTCAAGTAGCCTGGAAGACTTATCTGTGCTGGGGGTGGGTGTTTACTGAGAGAAAATGTTAATTTACTAGAAAAAATGCGGGATATAAAACCAAAACCCACCTCTGATAATAAGTGATTCAGACTGTTAAGAAACTACGCAAGGATAGAAAGTAGAGATGATGTAAGTCTAGTTCTAATTGTGATAGTTTCTGGTACTTTTACCAATGGCCACGTATCCTAACAATTGAAATCATCGTATGACAGCAATCGCAAGGATAATAGTAATTAGTAAATATACCCATAGCTCAAAAGATCTTCAGACTGATCAGAGGCTGCATATTGTAAACGGTGTCAAGAATTATGATAAGAATTAGTAACATAACAAATCATTAAAAATCAGACTAACAGGATAAAATCTCCGTCAAAAAGCCAGTAACAGCTTATTACAACAATGACTGCTAGGCAAAGTAAAGATAGAGTTAAGACATCAGAGTTGCAAGTTGCTGTAGGCATGACTTGCAACTGTGCAATACGCACAGTTGATCATCTAAGTGAAATCATGACAGCGCATGGTATGGACAAGGGGGAGGGGGAGAGAGAGGAGGGTACATTGGAACACATACAGATGCATAGATGTTAAAGCATAATAAAAAACATTATATCGCCTGCATTTGTGGCTGAAAATGTTTACGCTGCACCTTTCACTTGTCCAGTGAGGATGACAGTCAGAAATTAAATGTAGAGCTTTTGATATGAAGTGAGTACAATGTTACATTTGATTTGGCTTTTCTGGTTTACTTGTGGTAGTAATTTTGCTTACAATGTAGGTTTTTTAATTTTTTTATTTGGCAGCCCCGATTCTCTGTGAGGTGATGGACATTTTGTATGCCAGGGGCACATACAAATATCCCAACCTGCACCGTTTGATTACGATTATACTAGCCACGCAGCCCTAAATCCCGATCCCTAACCCGTGTGCAACACATCGCTCTCAACAATGGTAACACCAGCGGTACAACGGCCAACAGTTTTGATTGAATCTGTCCAAGTTTTCTACAGGGGCAGGCACAGCTGTTGCGGGGTCAAAGAAAAACAAAAATATGCCTGTCAACTCCTGCTGGGGACGTTGGAGCACTTGAGGTGTCTGCTGCATCGGAGGACTGAGCACGCATGGGTCGGGCCAATGTGCTAGGATATCGATAAGGATAACAAGTATGTATACTTGTAAGAGTGTTACGATGACCATCACACAATACTTTTTCAATACATTTTTTTTAAAAATTCAATTTAATTTAATTTTTTTAACGTTATAACGTGACTATACATACACTCATTCAAAAAACAACAATGGATATTTGGTCACTCCCGTTATAGCGAAAATATACTTACGTCCTTTTTAGGACGTAATTTTTTGTTATTTGAAGCCCCACTCTGGCTTTTGCCAGGGGCCGCAATACAGGCAGGTCATAAATATGGCCAATTGCCTGAACGCGGTTTCTGGGACCTCTCCACGGTGATACTCACCCACATGGTGGCACTTTGTGTCATCGGGTGTTTATCGCTTGTGTGATGTTCTGGTGGGGTAGAAATTCAATCATTCATTCATTTGGTCCCTGAATTACCAATGTACAGTTTTCCTCATAACTTGCCTGACCAGTGTTCTGTGCAATCATGATTTCATCGGCATTCATGGAGACTGGGGTGAAGGTCTTGTCTTGATCAGTATATTTAACATATGAGAGAGAACCTTCCACGAACAGTCGATCGCCTTTCAAAATTCTGGCTGCAACGTTATCTCGAAGTCTTGGCCTAAACACACCACTTTTCTGCCAGTCTGTCTTGACCAAACGTTATCCATCTGCCTTTCTGTACTGCACATTTGTTGCAAGAGGAACAATGACACAGGGGTGCTCCGAACTTCCCCAATTTTCTGGTTCTCTACCACCTCTGCCTATCAAAGTTACTCTGTTGAGACATCTCTGAACTCGCTTCTTGGGGTCACTTTCTATGCCACCTGCAAGATCTGGAGAATCGACTACTGTGTTTGATGCTATCCGGGACTCGACTGAGCCATCAACCTTGTAGTCACCAGTCACCCGTTTCTGAAGTATGGTGTGAATGTCTTGGTGACAAAACCTACCAGTACTGAGTTATTAAGATATGGAGTTACAAACAGTATGACTGTCTTCTACTACACCACCGGAGCTGACCGACACTTAGAAAGAACAATTCTTACCTTTATCTTCTGTCGAACGCACTGCAACATCCTTTCCCAGGCTGTATTTGATCATTCTCTGGTCTCTGCTTTCCGTCTCTTCTTTGCCTCAGATATCCGCATTCACGTCTTCTTTAAATTTCATTGCCAGACTGTAACTCCTTTCTGCTAATAGCCGATTCCGTTATTTCAGGATTAAGATCCAATTCCAGCGTGGTTCCTGTCCTCAGTTGCTATAAAATAAACAATGCCAAAACCGCTTTACTTCGCTCCCGCGCTTCAGCCATTTCCGAGTTGTTTCCCCTGCAACAAACAATAATGACACTGACAAGTGCAGCTAATGGCTTGTATTGCTTGTACAATCACATGAATGTTGCTGCACCTTCTGCCTTTCCAGACGATAATGTTTTATACAGTGCTGCTATAGAGAGGTAGGGGAATCTCAGGGATGACAATTGTGACTAAAAAAACCGCTCGCGTTAAAAAAAAAAAAAGTATCTACATAGCAGAAAGGCTGGACAGTACTGTGGTGATCTGCGTGTTGCTCTTACGACATGATCCATTCTTGGTCTGTCTCGTTTTCCACAAAGGAGAGTTAAAGCCAGTTTGTAAAGAACAAAGCTTGCTGCAGAAGCTGTGGAATCAGAGAAGGAGTGTTGTACACTCACAGAGATTCAAGTCACATTAGGCTTGTGCAGCCGTCACGGCTGGTGTTCCGTCACGGCTGCCCTAATTATAACCTCTTTGGAGGCTGAACTAGGTTGTGCCACGTTGGTCTACCATCTACACTGAGATTTCTAATCTGAGGGATCAAACCTTACGGTGCTTTCTTTTTAACCGTGTTTTCTGCGCCTTAGCAGGTTTTCGCGCGGTAACCTAATCCTAACCTTAATTCTAAAACTAACCTAACCAAAACTTTACGCCTAATCTACCACCCCCTGAAATATTTGACTGTCCCGTGACCCGTGGATTTTCCCTGTTTGTGGTCGGCTAATAACAAAGCACTAACCTTACAATAGCAACCTGGGGTGGGGGAAATACCTATCAGACAACAAGCTGCACCCACACCTCGACACGGGACTGCAGCTGATTTTGTAGCCCTAGCAGTAAAAGTAAAGGTAAAGGACCCTATCCAAGCCTTTCAGGGGTGTTGGGTATATAGGGCTAGACCTAACAGACCAAACTGCACTTGGTGGGTGTTGTGGTCAGCATCACGCCGACCACCTTTACTTCCCAGGACTGTGGCTGGTACCCATTTAAGGCTGGGTCAACATAGGAGCCAAGGTCATTTTTTAAGGGAAAAAAATCCGGCTTTCGTCATGAACCGAACCCACGACCTTCCGATGCGCAGGCTAGCGTCTAGTCGCTAGACCATAGCGACTCTTAAATCCTAGGAGTGGCCTAACAGAACTAATTATACATTCAAACGGGGTTTCAGGGATTTGCTCCTGTTTGATTCTCATCCTTGAGGTGTTAATCCTTCTTCTTCTAGTCCATGCCGTGTGGCGTTGGTAGTCATGTCTACCCACAACCGTTTGTCTCGGGTACTTGCGAATGGACGTCGCTTAGTGCACCAAAGGCTAGCATACGATATCAAAACGTCTATTTTGTGAATGGAAATGGAGGCAGTCATGGCTGTCTTCTGGTGGCTTGAGAATCAGCTGTACACAGTTGCCATAATTGTAACTGATCCACAGAGCTTGTTGAGAAAGTTAAAGTGCGCAAATCCAACGCAAGGTGGTCTGTTGCTACATCGCCCGCAGCTGGGATGGAACCCAGCACGCCGGAATAACGAAGCGAGTTTGCAATGCCTAAGCCACTGAAAATATATATTAGGGCAGCTCCAAGGTTACTAATAGCATGCAGCCTCGTAAGGGTTAGGATGGAGCAGTTCTCACACACACTCAAAGTTCATCTATTTATAGCAAAGCAGCCTGGTTGATGCCAGCGAGTTCCCGGCCTTGTTTGTGAGCCCAACATGACTTTCATACAGACATCAAAGTCGCAGAAAACTGCGTTAGATTTACAAAAAGCCATTTTTATACTTTGCTCCTCCACAACCTCCGCGTCTCCTCCCAAATTATCACATGTATCCTTCAGTACTTTAAATTTTTTGGCCACGAAAAGAAATATGGAAACTGAAGCATAATGTGACAAGAAACAATGTGTGGACAGCAGCCTTAACATCTTTATGGCCCGTCTCTCTAGCGTAGTTAGCTAAACCGGATTGCGCGAACTCCTTGTGGTCCGGGTTAACTCCCGGGGGTGGGCAGAAAAGCTACATTTCTCCTAGTTTTACGGTATTTACAATGGAATCAAGGCCGAAACGTTGCGATATCCATAATACCGAGCCTAAGGGTTAACAACTCACGGCTTCTGGATACTAAAACAATCATCGTTATGGGTTCATAAGCAAACCAGTGTGCTCAGGTCTCTACGACAACCACTTAAAGGGTGAAATATAGTCACTTGACATACACAGATTACCATATGGCTCGTTAGGCTTCCTAGGCAAGTGCCCAGCATACCCCTACGTTAAGACGGTCTGGTTCCCCATATATTAGTTAGTTGCGTATCCTTTAGAGGACGTCGCAGAACCAACTCCAGCATTTTTTTTTGGCTGTTGTAATTTTTCTAGGCAAGTTTACGCCCAGCAGTTTGCCCCATCGCTTTCTGGACTGTCGAATTCTCAATATCACTGTCGAAAACAACGCAAGGCGCAAGACCGGCAGCTGGGATCGAATTGGGCCCCCTGGCATTACGAAGCACGTTCGCAACGCTTAAGCCACAGACACCGACGCATCCACAAAGAAGCAATAAAAAATAATAACAATAAATTATAACATTTTATTTATCGAAATAAAAAAATAAAATTACCGTATGATGAAAAATAATGTCTATTTGAACTTAATGGTTGAACAGTTTTCTCTTATTTTTTTCTTCTTTTCAAATTGCAGTCTTTTATTAGATCCTCAGACTAATCTAATGTAGGGAGGCTGCGTTTTCTCGGGGCATGGTGTCCACCTAGAATGCTAGAGGTCCCGGGTTCAAGCCCCGGTGAACGCCTGGACTTTTTTCACGTGGATTTCTAGTATTTTTCCCTGGTCTCTGGGTAATAAGACCGGTCGCCCGAGTTTATTGTTGCGCACGTAAAAAAAATCACTTGACTGTTGAAAATCGAAAAGAGTAGCCTAACGGATCCCCGGTGCTACAGGAAGAAATGTTAAAAATTACCAGACTACGCTGATAACACAGTCCTCCTTTCGAAATGCGTAAAGGGAATAGACAATTTAAAGCACAGTAAAGATCGAAATCTGTTATTGAATTTGAAGAAAACGAAAATAATGTCCACAGATAAAACTGGCTGTCACCCACCCACCCACCCACACACACACACAATTGAAAATGTCACAAACTTTGAATATCTAGGCTCTATAAAAAAAATGCAATGGAGACTGTTTGACAGAAATTAAATGCAGGATAGCCATAGCAATGCAATGATTAAAAGTCTATGGTTAGGCACCAGCAAAGAGATCCAAATTAGAATTCCCATACGGATGTGAATCGTGGACTGTTTCCCAGTCCTTAAAAAAAAAGAGAATAGGGGCTTTTGAGCTGAAATGCTATAATAAGATTCTCAGAATATCTTGGGCAGAGAAGAGGAGAAATACTGAGATGAGATCTTGAAAGATCTGAACATCGAGGAAGATTGGCTAATAAACAGCATCTTGTTTTGGAAGTTGAAAAATTTTGGTCATATCAAAAGCGCCACGACGGATTAAAAAAAAATAATAGCAGAAGGCATGGTACCAGGAAGGAGGGGCAGGGGCCGACCAACATCAAAATGGGCACAGGATATAAGTGACTCCTCGAGTATGAAAGAACATGAGGCGGGAGAGCTGGCGAGAGACCGAGTTTCTTTCAGGCAGACCGTGATCAGAGCGACGTTCTGCAAAGGACCTGCTACATGATGGATGATGATGGTGCTGCAGGGTTTGTGCACTGTGCTAAGATTCTTCAAACTCAGGATTGAGTTGAAAAAAAGAACGAGCACTTATGGGTTACACCCGTGTACCGTGAAGTTGATCCGTTGAATAAACAAACATACAAATTAATCTAATGTAACACATATGCTTCAATACTTTATGGAGATAGTGCATGCAGTCTGCCTTGTTGTTGTGACGCGATTATTTATTATTCAACCGGAAAAAAAAACGCTCAGTTCCAAGGTTTTTGAACATTTACGTAGTGCCCGTCGGCTCTGTGGCTAAGTCGGTGCGAACGCTTCGTAATGATGGGTTACTGGGTTCGATCCCAGCCTCGGGCCATTCGCCTTGTGTTGGTTTCGACAGTGGTATCAGGGAGCCGACCGTCCAGGAAGCAATGGCAAACTACTGAACGTAAATTTGCCTAGTGAAACCACACAACAGCCAGGGGCTGATGGGGTTGGTTCTGCAACGTCCTGTAAAGGATACTCAACTAACCTTGATGTGGTGCCCTTCCATTTGTGATAACCTAAGCACGTGTCTAGTGTTCTCAATGGTTAATCCGGTCCTTATTATAATATAAGCAGTAATTACACAAACGAAATATACCACTTACTTTTAGAGTCTGCTCACCAACAGCAAGAACGCACCTTAAAGCTCACAGCCTTAATGCCCAACACACTAGAGCCCAGAATAGCATGGTATACGTGCTTTCTGGTCTCCTCGAGCATAAAGCACTTTGTTGTTCTTCTCACACTCATTTCCCCCCCCCCCCACCACAGC